TCATTGATGAAAACACTCGTTCCACGCTTGCAGTCGCCACCGGAAGGATCAATGCTAGTCTTATCAACAAGTAAACTAATTTGTAAGAAGTATGCTTATTTGTTTCAACAAGCATCATAGAAAGCTCATTAATACCCTTCAAGTCTCCAAACCTTGCATCTGTACGCATGTCATTAATATAGAAACCAAGTTCATGACGAAGAGCAGTCATTGTCATGTCATTAGTTGGAAACTCTTCGGGATATAACTCGGCAAGTCTCATCAACTTTTGCTTATCAAATGCCGCAAATGAATTTAGGAGACTCAATATCCGCATCATCAATAGGAGTTACAACATCTTCTTCTATTGGAGGATTCCTTGAACTAGGTGAAGAACAAGTAGAGGACTTTTGTGACTTCCCGGCACGTTTCCAAAAAGACTCTAAACTCATGGTAACAAAAGCTCTACAATCTACAATAATACACAAAATACACAATTAATTATCAATTAAAATCACAAGTCCCCAATAAACAAGGCCTTGCTGCCTTGGCTGCTGTTGATTTCAGCTGATTAATTCTAATTGTGCTCGCTGAGCACTTCCCTTCAAAAAAAAAATCACAAGTCCCCAATAAACACAAATTTGACAATATAAACTTCTTCTAATTATCAAATTTCAATTAACAGAACAAGTAAAAATTTATAATTTTAAGTTTCTAACTTCTAACTTTCTACAATTCAATTTCTCAACAATTCAAGAATTCAACAATATATCAAAACCATAAACCAATTTAAAAAATAAAACAAGCAATGAAGCAAACCAAGATTAAGATTTAATAGGAGTAGAGGAAATGAGGAATAAGAGATTAAGAGGACTCACAAAGTCACAATTGTAGAAGAGAAGAACTCGAAATCTGAACTCGTCCGTGAGTCGTCCCTCGTCCAGTCGTCCACAGTCCACTCGTCCGTATCTCCGTGAGGTGGTCGTCGCCTCGCCGGTAGCCCGGTCGGCCGTCGGTGTCTCAGTGTGCGGTGTCGGCGTGCCGCGGCGGCAGGGGCGGATCTTTATGTAAGGAGTTTTTTAAAGTTAGGGTTTTGGTGTTTGGGAATTTGGGGAAAAATGTCTGATGTTTGATTTCTGAAATATGACTTATTAAAAAAGTACAAAAAAGGGGGGCAGTAGGAGTCGAACCCAAGACCTAAGGTACTAAAGGAGCGCGCTGCTCTATTCTCCATAGAATTACCAATGCGCCAAACTTACCCGTGTGATAATTATTCTCACCAAAATTTGTTTTAAACCTTTTTTTTAAAAAAAAAAAAAATTAAAACTTATAATTTTTTTTCCAAAAAATCTGTGGGTTCAATGAACCCCTTGAACCCCCTAGATCCGCCCCTGATTGTGGCTTAATGCACAAATTCGAACAATAAAAAATGAAATTGAAAGAACCCTAGAAATTGGGGAAAATCTAAGAATCAAGAAATCGATCAATTCAATTTGTTTTGAACTAAATCAGTTGAATATAAGAGTAAAAATTGACTGAATAATCAAAATTGGCTCAAAAAATGAATTAAATTGTTGATAAACTTAGCAATTCGAGAAGAAGAAAAGAGGAAAGAGAGATAGGAGAGAGAGAAGCAAGAATTTTTTTTTTTATAAATATTGTGGCTGGCGAGCCACATATGAAACTTTGTGTAGATGATATCGAGCAATATACTGAGTACATTAAACCAAACGCGAACATTTCAATGGATGTAAAATATTGTGTGAAATCCAGGAAATAATATTATTCCCTTTTTAAAAAGACAACTAAATTTACACCTAATCTATACTATATACTAAAGTAATCACCAAGATTATTCTAGAAATACACGTGTCGCGATTGTAATTAAAAAAATTTCCCACCAAAAACTTTTTTTTTCCTTAAAAAATAATAAGATAATTAATTAATAAATAAATAAATAAATAAATAAATATATATATATAAAAGCATACATAATAGAACAATAACAAATTTAATAAATAAAATATCAAATGTATACAAAATCTATAATAAATACAAGCTTATATAACTATATAAATATTTTTTTTTCCTGTGAACCGAGGGTTGCTTGGGCAAAGAACTAGTCAAAAAAAAATTAATACCTCGAGTATACATTATAAAAAGACTGAAAAATGAATTGGAGTATTAAAATCATCCATTATCTTATCCCAATAATATACGCATATTTTTTCTATGGAGGCGGATGCACGATGCTCCGTGCATCCGTTTTCTCTTTAAAAACGCGGAATGAACATTCCGTTGTTCAGTAAAGAACATACATTTGTTTTGTAAAGAACATACAGATATTTCATAAAGAACATCACATATAGCTGTATTGTAATGAACATATAGTTGTTTTATAAAGAACATATACCTATTTTGTAAAAAAAACATCCAACTTCATGTTCTTTATATGTATATCTATCTAAAGAACATCCGTAATATTAATTAAAAACATGATAATTAGAGATGATCAACTTTGGACCGACCTGACCCGGCCCGATCCAGCTCGAAAATAGGGCGGGTTTAGACAAGCCTAAAAATGCATTTTTAGTTAAAAAAATCCAAACTCGGCCCGAAAAAACCCGAAAAGCCCACTACTATACATTTTTCCGGTTTGACACGAGATATTATGTTAAGGTCCAACCCGACCCGAATTTTTTATCACCTCTAATGGTAATATATTGTAATGAACATTATTTTTATTCAACCACCATAATCTAAAGAACAAATTCAAAGAATATTTCAAAATAAACAATTAACGTATGTCACAAATAAAAGTACATTATTCTGATAATCAAAGAACATGAAGATAAAGAACATTATTTAACTGCATATGTTCATTAAAATTTTATAACATGTTCTTTGCACTTTAACTGAATGTTCTATACAATGTTCTTTAAATTCTATAATATGTTCTTTTCACTTAAACTAAATGTTCTTTATATTTCTATGCAATGTTCTTTCCGCTTTTTTTTTTTTTTTTTTGAAGAGATGCACCATGTGGATCGTGCATCCGCCTGCACGAACCATGCATTGTGGAGTATACTCCATACTGATTGAGTTATACCTAAAACATAAAATTAAAAAAAATATATAAAAAATAAATAACAGCTAATGTATTGTTTTTGATAAAATTGATTACTCGATCGGCCGTCTCCATTTTTGGATCATGTAATCATATTTTTTATTACTTCGTATTATTTTTAATGGAGACGAATAGTCTATGAAGCAAAATCTAAGTGCGCACAACGTTCGAATGCAATTGATTATTTGCACACGTATCATTTGGAGATATAAATTGTTATGAAGATTTTTCACGTCTTTGTCATCAACCTTTGGAGAATTAGAGAATATATTGTTGTTTTTTTTGTTTATTCTTGATCGTGATCGTATTGTTTTTTTATCATAACAACAGCATTACTTTTCAAAAAACATGAAACGAAGACCAATTAACCCTATAAATAGAGGTCGATACAGAACCAAAAAATTAAATCGACAATCCAAATCCCATATATATTAACTTTATGATAGAGTATATAAAACAATCCTAACCTTCAACCATCCGTGTCAAAAAAGTACGAGTAAGAATAATGATGAGTTCAAGAATAACCCTATTCATGGCCGTGATTATGGTGGTTGTTGCTATCCAATTCCAACCCATTTGCTCTCAAAATGATGCTGAATTCATCAATAGGTGTCTGGATAAGATCTCACCGAAATGTTCATCTGATTTATCGGAAAACTGCTGCGATGCGCTGGAACGGCTAAGTCGGCGTCAGCGTGATCGTAAATGCTTTTGTGCCCTATTGTCAACTAATAACCAATTTGATAGCAATGAGTTACAATTCCTTAGAGAAGATGCTACAAACTGCGGCATTTTTCGTGACGATTTCGAGTGCACCACTACATAATTCTATGTTTCAAGTTATTGAATTGAGTTTGTTTGATTTAATTTGGTTGCAATTTCTATACATATTGGTGTATGTGCCAAATGTGTGTGTGAGCGTTTTTTGTTTCTTTTTTGTATTTGAGTTGTTGATAAGGAATGATCTTGCTCTCCATATGTAGTATGGTTGACTTTACTTTGTATTTAAAACCAATGGCTTTATTAGGGCTATGGCTATTATATTGGTTCTACCTTCATGATGAGGTATCCAAATATTATTGCATATACAAGTATATGTTGTTATTACTATTCACAAAAAAAAAAAAAAAAAAAAAAAAAAAAAAAAAAAGTATAGGTTGTTATTATTGAACGTACCAATTGACACACTTTAAGAAATAAGTAACTCGTATAGGTTCGTTTTAATGCTTTTAAGAATGTGTTTAAACTCTCTTTACTAACTCCCATTAGCACATTTATGTTTGTAACAAAAACAACAATAGATGAATCCAATAGATGAATCCAATCAATCAATCCAACTTTTTTTTTTTTTCCAATATTTATCTCATCTCTCAATGACCCCCAATCATATAAATGACATCACTAGTAGTTTAAGAGACTATTTTAATGACGATGCTTTTGTTGACAATAAGGATAATAAATTAGTAATAAAATTAATACTTCAATCACCCAATTAACAATCGATCAAACAAAAATCAATAATAAATCATAAATACACGCACTACCAATTGACAAAATACAAATCAAATCACCCTACAATCAAACAATATAAATCGATTATAAATCAAAGGACTTGCAAAATCATATTGTTGCAATTGTACAAAGTTAAATTAGCAAACTCATCAAAAAAATATTATATCTCCCAGGTTACAAAATTTGATCAAATTTATAGTAGATCAATATTCTTATAATATAATGCTAATTCTACTATAATTTGATCGAATAAAACTAACATACTATATAATATTGCAACGCTAAACTAAATATCCAATACTACTAGTAATCTTACCAAAAACCCTAATTCTCGATCAAAAGGAAGCCGTAATATCGTGACAGATAAACCCATTCCTTCTAATCAACGATTAGTTGAATTAGAAGAACAATAATAATTATTGTTATTATTAATCGAATTAACCCTAGAAGAAACTTGATCACGTAAACCCTCAAGTGAACCCTTCAATTGTTCAAGCTCCAACAACCCTAAATTATCAATCGGTTTATCCCACCAAAACCCGAACTCGCTATTATCACCACGTGGACTACTCCCATTGGACGACAATGATGACGAACCAATAACATGATCACTCCTTTTTTTCTCAACCTCAATATTACTCAAAACTCTCTTGTACTGCTCAGAAAGTACACTCGTACCAAACTCATTCCCATTACCACCATTTATTATATTATTATTCTCGACGCCCCTTGTATAATTAATATACCGACTAACAACCGCGTCCGCGTTCGGGTGACCAAACGAGAAGAGCTTCCCGGCCTCGGAGAAAGTGATAATGGCAACCTCGGAACCGCATAAGGAGCTTAATTCACTCGCCTTCTTAAACAACCCGCCTCGCCGTTTCGTAAACGTAACTTGTCTGCTTGTTTTGTTGATTATACGCTTCATTTCAATCTTCTGCTTTCCGGCTTTCTTCTTGTTCATCACTATTGGCTCGATTATGAAATCTTCGGGAAAATTTAGGGTTTGATCTTCCATTCTAAGATCATCCAAGTATTCCTCCATTGTTATTAATTCAAGTGTTTTTGTGGGTTTAATTATGTTATGCGGGTGTATGTATGTTAAACTGAATTTTAGAAGGTGTGTATTTATAGAATGTGAGGAGATAGAAAGTGGGTTAATATTAAATGATGTGTCAGAAAATATTACGAGTAACAAGAATATTTTTGGACACAATTTAAGGGAATAAAATCTTTGTTATTATTAGTGTTCGTTAACAATTCTAATGTGGTTCCTTGTAAAAGATACACCGACCTAAATGAGGTACAAGATTGCATATTTGCATGGGCTGTATCTTGTAATGATCAACAAAAGCCCAATACTTGATCACATTCTAACTAGTCCAAATCATTAAGGCTAAAAAAAAAAAAAAAGTAAAAGCTTGATATAATTTTTTGAAAAAAAAAATAATAATAATAATAATAATAAATAAATAAATAAAGGGTAATGTTATATATAGCCGTAGCCGTAGCCCTAAGGGCTATATATAAGTAGGGGTGAGCAAAAAATCAGGGTACCCTGAATCAGAACCGGAACCTGTTAGGAATCGCAGGTTCCGGAACCAGAACCTATACAAGAGGTTCCAGTTCCGGGTAGCAAACTGAAGAACCTATTGTAATAGGTTCCGGTTCAAGTTCTCAATTTTTTGGAACCGGAACCTGTAGGGTACCTTGTACCTGATAAAAGTATCACTTAATTTCAAATTATACACTAATTCTTACTCAATTTTTAAATAATAAATATCAAAATTACAATTATAAAAATATATATATTAAATTTGTTAGACAACTACTATTAGTTTGTCTTATTTGCAAGTTGCAAACATTGGAGTATAAATTAGTGACCAACCAGTTTTTTTATTAAAAATTCCGCGAAAAAGTTAGTGAGTATATTATAATACAGGGTACCCTGAATCGGAACCAGAACCTACAGGTTCCGGTTCCGGTTCCCAATTTCCAGGAACCTGTTCAACAGGTTCCGGTTCCGGTTCTCATTTTGAGGAACCTGTTGCAATAGGTTCCGGTTCCTGGAATTTTTACAGGGTACCCTGTTATGCTCACCCCTATATATAAGCATTAAATATACTTTTGGAAATTAGGAATTTATGACAAAAACACGCGTAAATCAGTGTTATTAGTGTTTATATTTTGATGATTTCTTAACTTTTTACGATTTTCAAGTGTAAATTTAATGCTTATACATAACCTAAGGGTTATGTTTAACCTTTTCTTTATAAAATAAATAAATAAAATTACTACATTACAGAATACATATTTGAAGATCAAGAAATTTTATTGATGATTTTTATTGAGCATATAACAGCTTGCATAATTCCATTATCCAACCATTATCCAACATGTATGGGGGTATGGAAAATTAACATACATTAAGGGCGTGTTCGGCGCTAGCTTTTGAGTAGCTTTTAGGTAGCTTTTAGTGGTTTGACCAAGTCAAACCACTACTCAACAAAAAATGTGAGTGTTTGGCAAAATAATGGTTCAAGTAGCTTTTAGTGGTGGAGGTAGCTTTTATTAAAAGTTAGGATTATTAGCTTTTGAAATTAGAGGTAGCTTTTGAAGTAGCTTTTGAAAATTTAATGTATAGTTTTAAAAATAAAATATTTATTCTTAAATGTAACAGCTAGTCAACCACTACTTTACCGAACAATCATACCTAAATTATCTTTTTTCACAGCTAATAGCTTGTTGACAGCTAACAGCTATCTCCACAGCTCACAGCTATCTCTACAGCTACAGCTACCTTCACAGCTATATTTTGCCGAACATGCCCTAAAACACGGTTACAACAAAAATTTGTAATTGCAACGGTAGAAGAAACTGCCTTAATCACAACCGTAATTTCCAGATTTTCACTTTCAATCAGGGTCTTGGCTATTATTCCTTCCTTTCCAAGCAACTCTGGCCACTCGTACTTCCCCCTATTCATTCATAGACTATGTAACCATTAAACCTAATACTCCGTATTAACTACTCCGTATGTTATTTGTATGGGAAAAAATTCATATACTACATCCGTTAACGGTTATTTGCAAGATATACTATAAATGAATGCTAACTATTTTGTGCAACAAATGTTTTTTTTTTCCTTTTTAGGTAATCATTTCTCTCTATCTCTCTCTTCATCACATGCACCTAACTTTTTCTCTCTTCATTTTACTCTCACAAACAAATTTTGCCTAGGAGTCCGCAAACACCCCCTTTATTGCAAATAATAGTTAACGGAGGATGTAAGTACAACAAGGTTTAATTAAAAAATAAAAAAAAAATATATTCAAAGAATAACTCAATTTTAATTAACAATGACAATTGCAATTTTGAAAAGCCTTTTATAAAAGTTATCGATTCGTCTACAATAATAGCAACCCGGGGCAACGCGGATGTTAAACTGAATTTTAGAAGTAAATAAATAACGTGTAATTAGATTGTGAGGAGAGAGCAAGTTAAAAATAAAAAAATAAAAATAAATAAAAATAAATCGGTAATTAATGAGTTAAGTTAATAATTAGGGACTAAAGTGTTATATGTTTTCACCTTTTGGGACCTGAACTTTTTTTTTCACCGTTTGGGACCTGTGGTTAAATTTCAAGCCATTTAACCCATCTGAAAAATTTACTAACCAACTTGAGCATTAATTGGAGTTATAAAAAATAAAAAAAATAAAAAAATTCCAAACCAAAAAAACTTGGTAAACATCAGCTATAGAATTTTTTAAGCAAAAAAAAAAAAAAAAAAAAAAAAAAAAAAAAAAAAAAAAAAAAAAAAAGCCTTCTATGTTCCAGTTTTTTACCTTAAACTAAAATAGCAAACCACAATCCAAAATTTCAAAACAAAAACAAAAGCATCCAACATCCACAACATCATGCAGCTTCCAACATCCAAATATAGCAGCAAGCTTTCTTCATATCATATTTACTTTTTTTTTTTTTTTTTCAAATTCTCTTTTCTTGCTCTCCCAAAACCAATGTTTCAGCCTAAGCTACAATCACAAGTATGAAATGGTGAAACAGCCAAACAGGAGATGTAGTTAAAAATTTTCAAATTGCAATTTTTTTCTACTCTGTGTATTTGTTCTTTAGGCATTAATTTGTCGTTGCATAATTGAATTAAGAAGATGGTTTTCTTACCTTGCATTTTAATGAAATTAGAACAACCTTGTTGGTCCATTATACAATGAACTTTGTTGTGTTAAATGATTTGTGTTTGATCCATGACTTGACTGACTTAGTACAAATGCATGACTTGATTGAGGTGGAATTGAATTGTGTTAAGATGCTTAATATACCGCTAATTATCTGCACTAAAATCAGCTTCAAAGCTTCAATTTTTTTTCAAAGGAAGGTTGATGATGAAGGAGTACTCTGATGAACAATGAGAGTTGAAAAGACACCTTTTTTTAATTTTTTTTGGGTAACCACGGTTACTCTTTTTTTTTTGGAGAAACTAATAAAAATTCTATTTGCAAATAAATTAAACCTAAAATAATTGTTTGGAGTTTGCGATTTGTAAAGGTTTTTTGAAAATCCGGATTTATACAGATTGTGCTGCCCTCCTTGCTCTTCTTCCTCCTTCTGGTTCAATGGAAAATTGGAAATCTCTGCTTGGTGGCTCATTCAGGAGTTGCGGGCTTCGGTTCAGTCTTTTTTAGTTTGCCAGGTTCAAAAGGTTCCTCGTTTGTGGGTCAATCCTACTCACTGGTTGGCTGGTTGTGCCCGACGTCGTCAGTTGTTGTATTTTCTGTTTTAGTTTTTTTTTTTTGGTTGACAGTTGTTTTTGGTTGTTGTTCCTTTTATTTGATAGCTCTTTTGTCAAAAAAAAAAAAACTAAAATAATTAGTGGGCCCCAATGCTTAACCATAGTTATTTTATTTGTTTAAAATTCTTTCTTAGGTCCCAAACGGTGAAAGAAAAAACTTCGGATCCCAAAAGGCGAAAAGTATAAAACTTTAGTTCCCAATTATTATTATTATTTTTTTTTTTTGACATCAGCGTAACACAATTAAAATTACAAATCTAAACTAAAGCTAATTAAACTAGTCCTGCTGTTGTTACCTTAACTTGTAATTATGTGTCATAATATACTTTGGACACAATTTTAAGCGAATAAAATCTTGGGAAATTCTCAATGGTACTCATGTACTTATTTTTTTTCTCAATGGTAAACACTAACTTTTCTAATTATCTATGGTAATCAATAATTAACTAATCTAATTCAATGGTAACTTGAGTTAAGCATTTTAATTATAATTAACCATGGTTTATGCTTAAATGGGAGGGAAAAGATGAATTGACTAAAATACCCCCATTTATTTTAGCCAACCAACTGTGTCTTGTCAAAGGGTCTGATTAAAACTTTTGAACTTCATCATCTTCATTCGAGTTCTTGATTGCTGCCTCTGAAAATCGAATCTGACTAAAAATTCTTGCTCCAAAACACTCATAAAATCTAGTTTATTGTCTAGGATAATTTAGTAGCAATTAAATTAGGGTTTTTCGGAAGGCTTGTGAATTGTTGAGGGGTATCTGGGTTGTGCAACTTACGCATAATTTGGGTGCATTTGGAGGCGAATTTGTAGCAAAAAGGTTGCGATTGTCAGAAAGGTTCGATCTTTGTTCGAATTATACCATTTGAGGTGCGATCTTAAGTCAGGTATGTATTTTTTTCGCTATAATTTGGTGCATGCTCTGTTTTTGTAAATGTGTAGGGTTTTATGTATTACTACTACTGCTGTTGGTTTATTGTTGTTTATTTTGGCAAAATTAATGTTATGTTGTGTATGGAGTTAATTATTGGGGTTTTATTGTTAGAATTAGTTGAATATTGAACTTGATGTTGTAGGTTATATGCTTATACATGTTACTTATATTTGCTGCAGAATGGGTGATAATATAAAGTTACAATTTCAATACCTTGGTAAAGATGTGATTGTTGTTGTTGAGGACATTGATAAGGCCAATTTGATTCACCTAATTATAGAGTACTGGGAGAAAGCAGCTAGGGACAATATAGAAACTCCAGAACACCCTACATTTAACTATGTGTTTAAAATGAAGCATGTTAGTCTTTTAAGTGATGCTGACTTAATGAAAATGTTTAGTAATTTGCCTGAGAAGAAGGAGATATACATATGGGTAGGAACAGTAGGTAAGGATAGTAAGGTGGTCCAAGCTGCTAGGTCACTGATGTCAGGGAAGACACCAGCTGAACCCATTAGTATGGACAAGTCTGTTGTGAGTCAACCTAAAGTGATTGACATGAAATCTAAACTGACACCTAGGAAAAGAAAGACTGGTGAGCCTGAGTTAGTTGAAGCTGAAGTTGTTAGTAAAGAAGACTTTGAGAGGCATATGATTGCAGTAGGTAAACTTCCAATCGATGAATATGATTTGGATCAGACTGACCATGCTATTAATCAATGCATAGATGATAAATGGACTGACATTATTGATTCACCTAATAGAGAGACTAAGAGTGATAGGGTACCTGATGCTCCAACAGTGACTGAAACTGTAAGAGGAAAAGGGAGGGGTAGGGGAACTGGTACAGGGAGAGGAAAAGGGAGAGGCAGGGGCAATGGTAGAGGTAGAGGTAGAGGCAGAGGGGCTATCAATGAGACAGGTAGAGGGAATGGGAGAGGTAGAGGGAAAGGGAGAGGTGGAGGGAGGGAGGATATAGTGGACTATTGGTTTAACATATCTCCTACTCCATGGGATCCAAACCAGCCTATTGATCACCCTACTGAAGACCATGACACTCAAATACCATCAGAGTTATTTACACAACAAACACAACCCCCTCACCCATCAACCCAATCACTGTTACAGCCTATTGAAAACATAGGAGAGTTTTCTAGGTGTAGTAAAAACTCAAATGAAAGAGGGTCTGGTGAGTGTCTTCTGTAAGAGGAGAGTTCCAAGGACTACTGCTAAGAGACATGGAGTTGTGAGTAGCAGCAGTGCAAGTGGTAGTGAGCAAAATGCAGCTTCTGGTGTAGGTAGTACTAGAAGGAGTTTGAGCATTAGCCTTAGGGATGATGCTGACCAGATACTGAGTCTGGAAGAAGATGATGCAGAAGATGAAGGGTACAATCCAACTGAGCATGACAATGAAGACACTGATGAGAGTGTAGATACAGAAGATGATATACAGGAAGATGAATATGGTCCTTTGATTGAGGATGGCTTTGATCCATTTGAGGAGCCTGTTTTTGAGTGTGAAAATGAGCAGGACAATTATTTTGCAAAGTTATAAAACAATGGTGAGGTATACAAGGATGAGGGTTTTGGTAAAATTGTGTTGAAGCCATGGCAGTTATTCACAGATAAGCAACATTTGAGAGATGTTGTAAGGGACTATTGCATACAATGTGGATTTTCCATCATTGTTGACTATGAAAGCAACTTCAGGTACTCATTTTCATGCTCAGATATGAGCTGCAATTGGAGATTACATGCCTCTCTCCTTCCAGATGGCACAACATGGGCTATTAAGTCCATTGAGAATTTAGAACATACTTGCCAAGGGGTTGAGCTCAGAAATTCTATGGTGAATTGCAAATGGGCAAAGAGAGTACTTTTAGATGACATTTAAGCAAACAATGACATCCCTACAAAGTCATTGAATGACCTATTGTTCCAGAGATATGGGGTCAATATGGCTCAGTCTACTTTGTACAGAGTCAGAACTCAAGCCTTAGAGGAGATCCATGGCAGGCATGATGTGTCATACAAACATCTGCCAATGTATTGTGATGTCATCAAAGAGTTAAACCCAGGGAGTTTGGCTCACTATGCATGGAAAGATGCAAACCACCCTGAAAGACCTCTGGCATTTAGCAGTATTTTCATTGCCTTCAAAGCTTCATTGGATGGTCTCAAATCTGGCTGCAGAAGTCTCATAGGGGTGGATGGAGCTCATCTCAAAGGTCATTTTGGTGGAGTGCTTTTGTCAGCAGTAGCCTTGGATGGTAATAATGAGATCTTTCCAATTGCTTGGGCAATTGTGGGAGGAGAGGATGCTGAAACATGGACGTTCTTTTATATGGCATTTGAAGAATGCTTTAAAAGATAGTGGAAGAGGGGATGAATGGTGTATTATCTCTGACAGGCAGAAGGTAATGATTCTATCTTTAATGGTCAATTTTTGCATTTATGTAATATATACTACCTGACACTAAGTTAACACTTCTGTATATTTTTGGTAGGGTATTGAGGCTGCAATTCTGGAGTGTTGGCCTAAAGTGGGAAGGAGATACTGCTGCAAACATTTACTGAAGAATTTCAAACCACAGTTCCCTGGTTTGTTAATGTTCTCATTATTTTGGTTGACTTGTGGAGCATTTAATCCCTTTACTTTTAGAAAGGCTATGGAACGTTTGCAAAAGGCTAATCCATTGGCTGTAGTGTGGTTTTCTAAGCTTGGACCACAATCAGTGTGGTCTAAGCATGCATTTAATCCAGCTATAAAGTCAGATGTCAACAAATCAAATTTTGTGGAAAGTTTCAACTCCACATTAGGCCTTGATAGGTGTCGACCTGTTATGACATAGCTAGAAGGTAATATTAGTCACTTGCCTAGGTTGTTGTGTCCTTACTTGTATTTCAGTGACATTTTGACCCTAACCTTACTTGCATATAACAGGTGTGAGGAGGCTTACCATGGTCAGGATGGCTACTAGAAGGGAGGCATGTGAAAAATGGAGAGGTGATATCTGTCCAAACATAGTTAAAAGACTCCAAGTCATTAGCCAAGAATCAAGATCATGCAAGTGCTTGGTGAGTGGGGAAGGTGAATATGAAGTGTTGGATGGGAGATCAGTCTTACCTGTAAATCTGAGGGCAGGTACTTGTGCTTGTAATGCATGGAATTTGACTGGCTTGCCATGTAAGCATGCCATGAGGGCCATCTTACACTCACATGATGACCCTCATAAGTATGTCAGTGACTGGTACTCAATCACCAAGTACAAACTGACTTATGGCAACACCATTAAGGCAATCCCTGATGTGGAGCAGTGGCCACAAAGTCAGTACCCTGAGATAGCCCCACCCCAGATGAAGAGAGGGATAAACAGACCTGCAAGAAACAGAAGGAGGGAAGAGGGTGAGCAAGCCAAGGGCAAAAGATCTAAAACAGTCAGGTGCAACAAATGTCAAACCTTTGGCCACAATGCACAGACCTGTTAAGGTGGAATGACAGGAAAAGAGAAGGCTGGTTTGCAAGCAACAGCAGCAGAATCAAAGAAAAAGAAAGCTCCAGCAACCTCTTCTCAACCATTAAGGAAATCTCCTAGAGGAAAGACTCAAGGTGTTTCTCTCAGTCAACTAGATCCAGCTCCTGCATCTTCTTCTCAACCAGTAAGAAGATCCCCAAGAGCAAAGAAGGCTATGACTGGTTTGTTTGCATCACAGCCTGTTCCTTAGTTTAAGCATGCACACCCATTTTAGTTGATGTATTTGTTTTGGAAACATTTAGTTACTGATATCAGCTTATGTATGCTGACTTGTTTTTTGGACAACATTAGTTAATGATGCAATTGCTTTATGACAGTTGATGTTTTTGGATAACATTAGTTAATATGCTGATTTTGGTTTATCTCTGTCACTTTGAATGTGTAATTTCAATGTGTTATATGTTATATGCATGTGTTATATGCATGCAATATCTGTAATTTCAACGTTGTTGATACAGAACAAATAGAATGCAAAATAAGGGAAATTCATCTACTTTTATTCAATTAGAAAGTAGTACATAATTAGGGAATACATAAACACCTACTTAACTGAAACTAAGGCTACCACAATTCTCCCTAATTACATCATCTAAATTTCGATTTGCAACAATAACTAGCATAATAAAGTACATAATCGACCAATTTTAACAATTCCCTTAATATACTTCACCAATCCATCCACCTTTTCATTCAAAGCAACAATGAGACTCTGTTTAACCTCTAATTCATCCTTCAGCCACGCAAAAAAATCGCAAGACCTGCACTTGTAAAACAACCTTCATGGGTTTTTTGTCGTTTTCGAAACCATGACAGCAGCAGCAGCCTAGGGTGGTTTGCAGTAGCAATGGACATGCTTCACCCAATCAAGCTTCTCGTCAATTGTGATACCCCTAACAGAAGAAGAATTAGAGAATTTCATTGAGAAATTTAGCTTAATTGCAAATAATTGAAATACAGGGGAAATATGAATTGGGGATTTCCGTTTCTAGGGTTTATAAAGCTAAAAAATTGGGGATTTTGGATTAGAAGGGAAAAGGGCAATCTGATTTGGAGGGAAAACTGATTTCTAAGGGTAAATTAGACTTTTTGACTTAAGTTAACTATAGTTAGGCTAATATTAAAGGATTAATGTTAAAAAGTTACCATTGAATTAAATTAGTTAATTATTGATTACCATAGATAATTAGAAAAGTTAGTGTTTACCATTGAGAAAAAAAATAAGTACATGAGTACCAGTGAGAATTTCCCTAAAATCTTTGTTATTATTAGTGTTCTTCAAAATTTCTGTAATAATACACCGACCTAATGGTGTACAAGATTGTATGAGTTGTCTTATCTCGATCTTATGTAATGATCATCAAAAGTCCAACACTTAAATCTCAATATATGGCCCAAACCCCAAATCATTAAAGCTAAATAAATTTTTTTTAAAAAGCTTGATGTAATTAAATTAAAATAAATAAAATTACTACATTATAGTATTATACAATACATACTTGAAAATCAAGAAATTTTATTGATGATTTTTATTGAGCATATTACAACTTGCATAATCCCATTATCCAACACGGGGGTGTGGAAGAACAACACTACCCCCAGGACTAACATACATTAAAACACGGTTGCAACAGAAATCAGTAACTGCAATGGTAGAATCTGCTGCCTTAGTCACAACCGTCAATCCAGGATTTTCACTTTCAATTAGGGTCTTGGCTATTGTTCCTTCCTTTCCAAGCAACTCTGGCCACTCGTACTTTCCCCCTATTCATTCATACATAGTTACATACGGAGTATATACATAAATTAAAGAAAATCGATTTATTAGCTCATTATATTCATGGTTAGAGTTGTGAATTTATAACCCAACCAGACTCAACTCGAATATGAAGTTATTGAGAGAGGATCCAACCCAAATGACCCGAACTATAGCTAGACTCGAAAGGAGGGGTTAATATATGTATATATTAATAAATTTAAATTAAAACTTAATTAAAGACTCATTTAAATTAAATTACAAGCTCATACTGTATATAGTTAACCATATGGGCACAAACTTGTTAATTACAAAGGGATCGTAATTAGCTTATAATCTTAATTATGTGCCAAAACATGGTGTAGTGATGATTGAGACTACATTTGGTAGGGAGAACTGGTGTTCGACCCCCACAACAACAATTGGGAGGAGACTGAAACCTAACCACCCAGAACTGATTCCCGAATTCGGATTAGCCCAAAGGGTGAAACAGGTAGAACACCAAAAAAAAAAAAAAAAAAAAGACTTTTTTTTTATTGTAAGTACTTAGCAAATTAAAAAGATTTTAATGGAATGAAAAAGGAATATTGAAAGATTATTTGTGGTTGAAAAAAATATAGTACTACATGAGACGTTATTTAAAATACAAAGGAAGAATTCTATTGTATACTTATTCGAAATAGGCTATTCAAATTCATAATTTTGGAAATACAATCATATGTATAGAAAAAAAATTAATCAATATAATTAAGCACGTAGAACATATCACTCGTAAGTATTTATCATACCTTGAGTGCAGCATGAAGAATTGTCACAATGCTTAGGATTAGCACAAGGTGGATAGCCCATTCTTAATTGATTTTTTTTTAATAACTCAGTTTTTTGTAGTTGGTGTTGTACATTTCAGTGTAATTCTCAGCTTTATATAATGTCATCATTTTTGTATAAGGGGGGAAAAAAATCAGACTTGATGTCATTTTTTTTTTAGGGAAAAAATCAGACTTGATTTTTTTGGTTGTTTGGGTGGGGGGGATCAGACTTGATTATTTCTTTTTATGAGGAAAAAATCAGAGTTGATTTTTTTTTTTTTTGGGGGGGGGATCAAACTTGATTATTTCTTTTTTTGAGGGAAAAAATCAGACTTGATTTTTTTTTATTTTTTTTTTGAGGGGGGATCAGACTTGATTATTTCTTTTTTTAGGGAAAACATCAGACTTGATTATTTCTTTTTTTGAGGGAAAAAATCAGACTTGATTTTTTTTTTTTAAGGGAAAAATCAAACTTTATTCTTTTAGCACTTTATTGTCTATTATTACGTATTAATTTTTATTTATTAATGTTAGCTAATTTGTATTCTAAAAATCACTCACGTATCGCGAGCATACAAAACAAGTTAAATTAAATGTGTTCATAGTAGTTACAAGACTCCACCAAGTGTCAGTTCTCATAATCCTCTCCATAACCCTATTTACATTGTTATATTGTCACTTGATATTTGTTAAAGGGCCAACAAGATAGTTGAAACTCAGTATTGCTTTATATACTTTATCATGCATTCACACTCTCTCACCTAGTCACATGATCATAGCCTTTAAATTTGGACTTGTAATATGGATGCAACATTGGCTCTCCGCATACCCTGCGCAATATATTCTTCTTGAAGTGAGCGGGTGGATGAGGGTTGAGCTGTGAGTCTGTGATATTTGTGTCACGTTGGTTTTGATATCATATTAAATGACTAACTCAATCAAAAGGTTAAGTTAAATTAATATAGTTGAATCCCAAAATTGGTTTATATACTCAATCAATATTATATTACCTCCGTCTTTAATTTTTTTGCCCCGTTGCTTATATATGACTCAAAGTATAAATTTAAATTTAATGTTACGGGTCGGCCCCTTACCATTGATTATATCATCCCTAATTCACAAGGTCTTTCACTTTTTGGACTTTGGTGAATAACATTTCCTTATATATTACTCAAACCAAGTAACCAACTATGGAATAGCCTTTTTGCTAGAATATAAAACACTTCATATTCTGTAAATATTAATTGTGTAATTATGTAGAGAGACTCTTGATTATTCTTGTACATTTGCTATTTATGTTGAAGCAATGAGAAGACAACTCTCAAGGAGTTTTACACAATCAAACATGGTATCAGAGCCAATAGGATTTTTTTCTCCAAATCCTACAGCCTAGTTCCTAGGACCTTCACCGTAGCCTCCTTCCCCTGTTTCTCCCATCCCTCTCGCAGCCATGCCTGCCGGTGATGACACTCCTCCCCCTCCCAATCCCCCCTCCACAACCTTCCACCCGACCTATGCAGTCTCTAATATCAAGAATCTTAAATGACTATTTTGGGCCCAAGACCAGCCCAGCAAGCTTTCTTTGCCCCAGTTCAGCAACAACAAGGATACGGGCCTTTTTTGTCCCCTACCGAGTTGGGCCAGGCATATAGCTCCATGAGTTTGCAATCTCCTAATGATGGGTGGTATATGGACACCGGCGCCACTTCTCATCTCACTCATACTGCTGGTAATCTCCCTAAACTGTTTAATTTGAGCACTCCTCAATTTATTTTGGTTGGTGATGGCAAACGCATTCCTATTCAGGGTTACGGTCACACCTCAACCCCTCCACCTCAAACCCCCTTTCATCTAAAAAATGTCTTATATGCCCCTAACATTATTAAGAACCTAATCTCTGTTAGGAAGTTTACTTGTGACAATTCTGTCTCCATTGAATTTGACCCTCTTGGTTTTTCTGTGAAGGACCTTCGTACGGGGACGGTTTTAGCGAGGTGCAATAGTGTGGGGGACCTATATCCTTTCTCTTCGACTTCCGCTGCAAGAGAACATGACCATCTCTCATTTGCTGCTATTTCTCCTTCTATTTGGCATAGTAGATTGGGACACCCAGGAGCACCTGTTTTTAATATTCTTAGGACTAATGGTTTAATCAATTGTAATAAAGGGAATGATACCCATTTTTGCTATTCTTGTCCTTTGGAAAAACATTCTAGACTTCCTTTTAAATCTTCTATGACTGTCACTTTTAGTCCGTTTGATATTATTCATGCAGATTTATGGACGTCCCCTATTAAAAGCAAATTAGGTCATAAATATTACTTGGTGCTTCTTGATGATTTCTCTCATTTTCTTTGGGTTTTTCCACTTAAATATAAATCCCAAGTCTACTCCCTTTTCCTCCAATTTAGAGCATACATAAACACTCAATTTGAAAAGCAAGTTAAAACTTTTCAATCTGACAATGGCCGAGAGTTCGATAACACTCCTTTTAAAAAATTTTGTGCCAATAATGGGATGAGATTTCGCCTTTCTTGCCCTCACACCTCTTCTCAAAATGGTAAGGCTGAGAGAATTATTCGCACAATAGATAATATGGCCCGTACTATGCTCTTTCATGCCTCTCTCCCACCCTCTTTTTGGGTATATGCCGTTCATATGGCTTCCTATGTCTTGAATATTCTTCCAACCTCAACTCTTGGAAACAAAACACCAACCGACATACTCTATCGTCGAATCCCCTCTTATGACCATCTCCGCATATTTGGGTGTCTTTGTTATCCTAATTTATCATCCGTTGCCCCCCATAAGTTGGCTCCCCGATCAACCCCTTGTGTTTTTTTGGGATTCCCTAGCAACCATCGAGGTTATCTTTGTTTTGACTTATCCTCAAACAAAGTAATTATTTCAAGACATGTTACCTTCCAAGAAAATATTTTCCCATTTACTGATATTCACAAATTTCGGCAATCAGACTATAGTTTCTTGGACGAACCATCACTTCTTCTTTCTCCTTTACATCTGGGTAGTACTCTTCAGCAGGCCCAAGATAATTCGCCCCATGCTCAGCCCATCCCCCTTAATCCGGCCCAAGCCGCTGCACTTGGGCAGAATAGTCCACGGGTTGACCGTGGGACAGTTAGCTCTGCCACAGCCAACTCGTGGGCTACCCAAGCAGCCGACCCAACTTCCCCTAGCCCACCTCCTTCCGTTACTTCCCCTAGCCCACCTACTTCACCTAATTCCCCTATGATCCAATTTGGATCTTTCCCTCCAAGCCCAGTGCGTGTCACACCTCCCACATCTAACCCGCAACCCAACTTGGTCCCTACTCATAGTATGGCTACTAGGGCCCAACATGGTATTTTCAAATCCAAGGTGCACTTCAACCTTGCTTCTCAGACGATCTCTCCACTTCCTAAAAGTCCAAAATTAGCCATGTTAGACCCGAATTGGAATGCGGCCATGAATGAGGAATTTAGTGCTCTTACTAAACAACATACTTGGGATCTAGTTCCAAGACCCCCTGATGTGAATATTATTCGTTGTATGTGGTTGTTCAAACATAAATACAGGGAAAATGGTGACTTGGAGCGGCACAAGGCTAGACTTGTTGTCAATGGAAAATCTCAACAGGTGGGTGTTGACTGTGATGAGACATTCAGTCCGGTCGTCAAACCGGCTACAATCCGTACAGTTCTGAGCATAGCTATGGGAAAAGATTGGCCGATTCATCAGTTGGATGTCAAAAATGCATTTTTACACGGTGACTTGAGAGAAACTATTTACATGCATCAACCCCCGGATTTTGTAAACCCTGGTGCTCCAACACATGTGTGCCGTCTTCGAAAATCTCTCTATGGTCTAAAACAGGCCCCTAGGGCGTGGTATCAGCGTTTTGCTAATTTTCTTCTTTAGATGGGTTTTGTGTGCAGCAAGAGTGGTAACTCTTTGTTTATTTTTCACAGAGACAGCATATCTCTTGTTATATGTTGATGATATAGTTTTGACCGCCTCCACAGAAGCTCTAAAGACAGAAATCATTGAACTGCTCCGGTCGGAATTTGATATGTCCGACTTAGGTAAACTGAGCTATTTTTTGGGTATCTCGATCACTCGCACTTCTGATAGTATGTTCCTTAGCCAGAAGAAATATGTAGCAGAAATAATTCACAGGGCTAAAATGTCCAATTGCAAGCCTGTTGCCACTCCTGTTGACACCAAATCGAAGCTTAGTGCTTCGAATGGCTCCCCTGTTGCTGACCCGTCTCTGTACCGGAGTTTAGCCGGAGCTCTTCAGTATCTTACTTTCACGAGACCAGATATCGCTTATGCGGTTCAGCAGATTTGTTTGTTCATGCATGCTCCTAGAGAACCACATTTTAATGCGTTGAAGCGCGTTATCAGATATATACAGGGGACTCTTGATTATGGTCTTCATTTGTATCGCTCTGCACCGTCTGGTTTGGCCTGGTCTCCTACACAGACACAGATTGGGGGGGGGGGGGGTTGTCCTGACACTCGCAGGTCTACTTCTGGATACTACGTATTTTTGGGAGACGATCTTATTTCTTGGTCGGCCAAACGACAACCCACATTATCCAAATCCAGTGTTGAGGCAGAATATCGTGGTATCGCTAATGTGGTCGCCGAGACTTGCTGGCTCCGGAACCTACTTCTAGAGCTTTATTGCCCGTTAAGGCGGGCAAGCCTTGTTTTTTGTGATAATGTTTCAGCTGTGTACTTGTCTAGTAATCCCGTTCAGCACCAACGCACCAAACACATCGAAATGGATATACATTTCGTCCACGAAAAGGTTGCTATGGGTCATGTTCGGGTCCTTCATGTTCCATCTTCTTCTCAGTACGCTGACATTTTCACTAAGGGTCTACCTCGGCAACTCTTTCTTGACTTCCGTTCCAGTCTCAGCGTTCGTCCTCCTCCCGCTTCGACTGCGGGGGTGTGCTAGAATATGAAACACTTCATATTCTGTAAATATTAATTGTGTAATTATGTAGAGAGACTCTTGATTATTCTTGTACATTTGCTATTTATATTGAAGCAATGAGAAGACAACTCTCAAGGAGTTTTACACAATCAAACACTTTTATTTTCCATTCTTTTTCCTCTATATTTTTATAATTTAAATTGAAGTTAGTTGACAGACTATTTCACAGTCATATAAAAAATAAAAATAAAACCTTAGCTTCACTCTCATCAATCCATCATGTGGGTACATCGTACATAGTCTTTATTGCAATACCACACAACTTTATTGCAATACCACATAACTATATTTTAGGAAACACGAGGGTGTGGAAGGTCAACAT